TACTGGATCTCCCCGAGGACACCCTCTTTGCTTTGACATCTGTCGTTCCCTTCACGACCACATCGCTTGCACCACTGCAGCTTCCAGTCGGTTGGACTCACAGACAGATTTATAGCTTGCACAATACACCGCTCTGCACATAGTACAGTCTCGAACCGAGTCTGAAGCCACGGCCCGACACAATCCCCTTGGCAAGTCACATATGAGTGTTCTCTCCTATCTCGCATGCGTCTCTCTACCAGATGAACCTCCTCTGCATGAGTATGATGGGATGTTCGAAATCAAGGTACTCAGTTCCTTACAAAGAGACCGTTGGAAAAGGAACAACATTAAGTGAGATGAAAGAGATCCCGATGAATGGTTGTTGGGAGTGGTGGCTACTGAGGATATGCGAAATGTCTGGGGCGTATCAACGCGCCAGGTTGACCAATTCTCCTACTACCTACTCATACAAGAGACACTACTAAGTCCTGTGGGTGTGTATAGTCTAGTGAGATTAGCTAGTGTCACTTGGGACGGATGACTCCCACTGGATCTCTCTGGCACCGCCTGTGGTTGGGACTCATTGAAATGGTGCAGAGATGAACGAAGTGCTGGCCCGGGTATTGTTGTTCGTCTCTATTTATTTATTATCCATCGACTAATACGAATGCGCTAACATCCTTGTTTCCATTTTTCTGACCAAGAGCTCCCTTCTTGTATGATCTTTTTTTACTATCTCTACGATGGATACCCTGCATGTCATTCTGCTGGATAACTAGCAGACTACTACGTCTTTAACAGTCTGTTGCTCGGATGGATCACCTCGTGGCGTCCATTCTTCTTTCCGTTATACCCTGCACAACGTCTTCCTAATTGCCCTCTCTGTTGTACTTCATTTCCCACTTATCGCGCTGCTTCAGGATCCAAGTAAGGCAGATAGATATATATGAAGCCTACACCGTCCTGAGCAATGGTCCTGAGTCCCTCCACAAAACCACGTGCTTGGGTCCACTACGAGCCAGCGAAACGCATCTCCCCTACACTTAATTGTTTCAATTCAGTTTGATGATTTGGATTCCATTCAATGCATCTAGCTAGCTACACTAAATCATTACTATTGTTTTCAAAATGATAAAAGAGAGATGAAGATAGACTCAACGCAGTCAAGTCCATCCAAAAGATCTTTTTTCTTCCTTTTCTTTCCGTCCAAATATCAAACTGCCATCTCACATGCATGTATGCATATAGAAACGAACATACATGAAAGCGACAGCGACAACAATGACACACTACTCCTCATTCTCTAAAGGGAAGGAAAATGGCTTAACCCAACAGTCCTCCAGTAAGAGATCCAGACCCACCACCGCTCAACAAGTCACCCACGAGAGGGATCTTCGAGAGCGGGTTGTCATTCACGACGTGGGAGGACGCGGTCGAGGGGGCAGAGCTAGAGGTTGAGGGGGTCTCCTCGGTAGAGGTAGGGGTAGTGGCAGAGGGCTCAGTGTTTGCCACCTTCTCCTCGGTCTTAGGGGCAGTCTGAGACTCGGTTGAGTGCGTGGTGCCAGTAGGAGAGGGCTTGTTGTCGGTGGTGCCGCTGGGGGCGGGCTTCTTCTTGTCGTCGTCGTCCTTGCCGGTTATTTGGTCGAGCATCTCGCTGGCGGACTTTTAAGATTTTTAGGTCAGTATCTGCATAAGGTGTATGAGGTAGTTGAGTAGAGAGGGAATGAATTACCTCGAGGGATTGTTCTGCGACCTGTTCGGCGAGAGTGCCGTCCAGTTCGTTACCGCTGGAGTTCTCGCGCTTGACGGGCATGGCCGAGACCATGAGGGCCAGGAAGAGGCAAAGGACGAAGATGGAAAGGCTGAGACGGGCCATTGTGATTATGATGTGTGGGTATGTGGAAAGGAGAAGAGATCGAGAATTGAAGTGAGATCAATAAATAAAGAGTGTGGATAGGCGTGATAGATGACTGTAGATCGATCTATAGCCAAGTGTAATTGATCAAGATTTCAAATAGAAGTAGAGTAGTAGAAGAGGAAGGATAAGTATGAGACAAAACGACCAGACCACTGCAGAAATGAATCCGAATGCTCGCCTGGTGTGCTACGGAGCTGACCTCGTGGGCATTTTTATATTTGTCCTTGGCTCCCAGGTACAACAGTGGGTTGTCTGACATTCCCCTGGTTGGGAGGAGAACGAAGGGACCGCGCCCACTCGCGACGGACTCAAAACATAGATGATCCGCGTGGCTCATATTTCGGGAATCCAAGGGCTTGGTCGATGGTGATGTTTGTTTGGCTGGCTATCCCGTGGTGTACCTTGATGGACGCAAGGGGTGCTTAGGGCGGCGCATCCTCATGTAGGAGGGTGGAGGGAGAAAGCTTGATGGGTACGTGGATCGGCAAACCGGCACCAAAAAGGGCACATTCCGGGGGGCAGAGTCTTACACACTTGTCTGATATCCTTGGTTTATTGCGCGGCATGGTTTACTCCTCCTAACCGTCCTGCAGGAGAGCCGCGTGTGCATCCAGGATGCATGCTTGACAGCAGCTGCGAGACTAACGCGTCTGTTTCACGATGACAGGATGATTATCTGCTGGTTGGCGAGAGTTAATTCAGCCTGGGATGGATCGCATTCGATGAAGGGCGTTCTCCTTGTGGCAAGAAATTCATCGTGGAATGATCAAGGTGAGGTTGTGCAACAGTCGCGTACTTGTTGTTGCCAGGAGGTTCGAAACAGTTTTTAAACCAAGGGCCAAACTACGAACATTAACCCAAAGTTATTTTGCATACTTCCTTACTGATCATATCTTCCGGATTTGTTAGCGGGCTGATGCAGAAGGTGGTCATTCAATTGTTAACAACAAATTGTGCAATTTGATAGAGCATTGTTTCACTACTTCAGAAAACACGAAAAAAGCTTATACTATTAGCGATTGGTATGGTGCAGTGGCAATGTCGAGTGGGATATACTCACCAAAGGAATTCAAGTATTTGTTCACTTCTGTACCTCCCTCAGTGTGGATGCTCTGTCCGTTTGAGCATCCTCCAGTATCCCACTAGAGGCGCAATAATTGACCGAACTGCCTTGGAGATGTTGTCGTTGTCAAGTGTACAATTCGGCCAATTCAAGCATTGTTCTGTCACTTGGCGATAGCTTTGCCCGCTTGTCGCCTCCACAAATGGTAGAAGGCGGAGCGCCGTGTTGCGATTAGCCACAACCTGCACTTCATCATGATCTTCCCCTGTCTTTAACGCCTCCAGGGTCTGACACTGAGACAGCTCCACCAGTATGAACCCCAAATGGATAAAAGGTGTGCCCGCCTGTACCTGACTGGGCTCGTTATTCAGGTCCCACTCAATATAGGGTATGGGTACGGGTACGGGTTTGGGTACGGGTTCAGGTTTTGAGACGCGTGGATCTTTGAAGACCATGATGTCTCGAGCTCGCCACTCTCTTTTGAGCCAGCTCCCGTGAAACTGAAGAACTGCACATGCAAGATCTACCGCGATTTTCAAACGATCTTGAACCGTAAAGGTTTCTTGGGCAGCAATATCAGAAGGCGAGGAGGACAGTATTGCAAATAGCTCTTCAAGAGATTTTGAGTATATGTTCCGTACGCTCTCTGCATTGCTTCGCAGATGGTAAATATTATGCCTGTGCATTGTGTCTGCCACGTACCCAAGAAGCATCTCATTGCTCTCGTTGATACCGACGGCTGACAGTGAGACGCACATATTGGTGATCTGAACTGCGGCCGGCAGGTCTTGGGCTCCAATGACGGTTCCTTGTTCGGTACCTGAAACGCCTTGGGGGAAGCTGATGTTGGGTATGTTTCCATCAATTGATAGCCCTTGCTGGCTTAATGTAGTATGGCTATCACGACACAGTTCCTGCGGGAACCTATGATTATCTGGTTTCGCCTCGACTTCGTGCCAGCGATTAGGGTTCTCCAAAGTCAGGACCTCCATCTTCAATTTCATCATTGGAGATTTAGGGTCCGGTGGGTTTGACGGGTCACATGTCCATGGGGAGTTCGAGAAGTCAAACATAAAGTAAAGTCTGTGCTGAGGCTTGCAAAGGCATGGCCAATAACCTCCATTAATGATCGCATTGTGCAGGCTGCTTGCTAATTGACGCCCTATTTGGTGTCGCTCTAGCGTTTCTTGGGATACGGCCCTTCTTGCGTTTATCTTCCGAATCTGATTGCGTTGCGCGACCAAGGTCTGTAGATGGCTGTTGTTATACTTGATCTGATTGATCAGGCCTTCGTAAACGCTTCGTAGAGAGAGATGGCGGATTTTCTTGAGCTGTTCTTTGAGGAAGTTGGTCTTGGTTGCCTAGCAGGCACGTGAACATGGTCAGCGGCTTGGAAATATTAGGAAGATGCTTGTTTCACTCACAACTATTCTGCCGGTTCTGTCATCACTCAGGTCCAACTTCTCGGATAGCGTATTTAGCAGGTCTGACAGCACATTTAATGTTTTCGCGAATTGGTCATAGTTAATATCTCCAAGCTTCTGCCTCAGCCGGTGCTGTACGTCCTGGCTTTGCCAGAATGCGAAACGGGGATCGCTGGTCCGATTGCCAAATCCATAGTAAGTGATTCCGTCCACAGCGATCTCCAGTGTATTGAGCAATATTACCCTTTCGGTTTCTAAGGCAGTGCGATAGCCTTCCATCAATCTCCAGTAAAATTCCCATCTTAGGTGTTTTAACCTCTGGAATCCTTGGACATAGTTGTCGATCTCGTGTACCAGCAGTGGCAGAATGGCCAGAACGACACCGGCTGTTTCGATGCCAGTAGCCATTTTGGAGTGTCAGACTTATGAACAGCAATGAGGAAGAGACAGTCTGTATAGCAGGCGAGGCTAGGACTGAACGAGTGTAACAAATGACCCTCATACCCCGCTCTCTGTAATACATGAACTGCTGACGCCAGGCTGGCGCTTGCAACAGTCTTCACTGTGATCTCCTTCAACTCAGGACAGGCAATTTGTCGCCATAGCATCAAAAATGGCTGAGGCTATCTCATCTACTGTATTCGCTATCATCCTACAGTTGGGGCACTGGATCTCAGTCGTACAGCTTGGGCTGTTCAATGATCAGGTCCCCGTGTCTCTCTGGAAGGATGAAATTGGGCGGTTGCGAGTGTGGGCTGCTGATGTTGGAGCCGATGAACGCGGTTCATTGTCGTTAGACTACAGCCTGCGCGACTCATCTCACCTCAAGGACCAGATCTCCAGCCTTCTTCAACAGCTTCAAAGGAGCTGTGAAAAATTGCTGGAGATAGCAAAGCCTGGTTCAGCTGATGGGAAGCTTCCGGATCCTGATATGAACGAAAAGCTCCAGACAAAGCTCCAGACAGAGTCCCAGACGGAGTCCCAGACGGAGTCCCAGACGGAGTCCCAGACGGAGTCCCAGACAGAACTCCAGTCCATTTATCACTCTGTGCATAATACAGTGGACTGTCTCTTCCGTATTGCGCCGGCAATTCGTCAACCTGCCAGAAACCATTTTGTTTTAGGGATCACGAAGCCTGGGCTGCCATTTAAACCTTCCGATAAAGACCTTGTTTGGGATATTTACCCTTCGGTAGATCATCGGATCGTCGATCGCCTTGTAATAGCGATATCAATGCGCCGGGCAATGCTGCGGTATAGGAGAAAATGCCATTCGAACTTCGCTATAGGACTGGAAGAAGTCGAGGAAGGCGAGCCTGACACACCAAAATTGGTCAAAGGGGACACGTTACAGCTTGGGGAGCTAGTGGAATTGAGGAACTCAAATCGCTCGCGTGCAGCGCTTCTTGAACAAAAAGGTGAAGAAGCAATGGTTTTTTTCCCCTATCAGATAGTGGAGGAAAGGTATGAATGCCCTTATTGCTTCTTCATGGTCTGGGTTGATTGCAGTGAACATTCTTGGGCCCAGCATGTCCTCAACGACATCATGCCATATGTCTGTGTCTTCCCAGACTGCTCATCGCCTCTTCGTCTGTATGAATCACGGCAAGAATGGTTCTCACACTGCCAACTTCATCTAAAGGAGTTGGGCATTATTGGGGTGCCAGAGTGTCAACGAAAGTGTCCTTTATGCACGCGGAGCATGACATCTGACGCAAAATGGGAGCGTCATGTTGCCAAACATCTAGAGAAAATGGCACTACGTGCATTGCATCCGCATTGGCTGGTGGACGATTCAAAAGAGACTCATGTAGCCTACGGAGACAAGTCTGCTTGTCGCGCCTATGGGAACGTACCAGGACGGTTCCAGGGGCAATCATGGAGAGATGCTCATGGTGAAAAGCGAAACGAAGCCCCAGAATCCAGCACATCAAGAAAAGCGTCTGCTGGCCAAGACGCAGCAACAGAAACCCAGTTTGGGTATACTTGTTGGTGGGTATGTTGTCGATGTGGAGAATCACGGAATGCAGATGCAAAAGCCAGCGAGTGCCTTTCTTGTAAACATTCTCGCTGCACAAGCTGTCGGTCAGTTGGAGGATGATGACGATGATGTTTCCCATGTATGCATGCATCCATGCAATCATATTCTCTTATGTTCTTAAGTTACAACAGAATGTGAACTGAACTACTTGAAACAAAAAGGAGATTGTAAGGCGTAATTTCTGCTCTTGATATCTTTTCAATTAACCTAAATTGTCACTACGCATAACCAATCCAAATCGAAAGGATAGTATGTACCTCCCTACTTTGACACGTACCACCCCATACAAGAAACAGGCGGTCGCAACACGAGGGAGAGATTTAAGGACGTATTTTTTGTCCAAAGAATCCGATCACTCTTGGCACGATTTTGACCTCGACGAATCATGGGGATACGACGGACAAGGCTTCGAATGTGCCGACTCCTTCCTTCCTTCCATCCTTCCTTCCATTCCTCACTCGTCATCTCCCATGTTATAATGATATAAAACCTATAATTAGTTCAACAATTCAACAGTTTTGAGCAACAATGAAAAAACATCACTAGCTAGGGAAGCTCATTTTCTTCCTTCGCCAATCACATTCAATCAACGATAGTAACCATCCCTAAAAGGATGAATGATAATGGTGTATGCTCAAAGCGAACCCAAACGACCCCGTGAACAGTTGTCAGGCAATGGGATTAGAACGAGCATAAAATATCACTCTCGGTCTCGAAGCTAAAATTTGCTAGTGGAATGGAGAGTTTATCCATCAACAAGGGTATGTTGGAGACCTTGAAGAGGGAAAAAAAAAAAGAAGAAAAAGGGAGAAAAAGGAGATTTCGCGAAAATTTATTTTATCTCGGGCGGTGGAGTGAGGTGCTTAGTAAGCTGCGCTGTAGGCCCCACTGCTTATCCCCAGCCATCGGGTTTATTACTATGTACTATTGCGGCGGGTAGTTGGGATGGAGGTCTGGGGGGGGTGGAAGAGGGTGTGTGACTTTGTGGGTGTTTTTGCTTAGCTGGGATGTCCTGGTTGTATTGGACTTGGATGGTGTTTTTGGGAGGTTGTACAATCGGGGTATACTTGGGATGCTACAGCAAGCTGTGGTACTGGGCACTGCATTATATGTTGTGTGCATGAATGGGATATACAATCTGCATTACTATCATCTCAGAGCTAGCTATATCTCTTAGAAACGTGCGAGAACCCTCTCCTGCGTATCGCCCAGTGCCCACGTATCGCTGTGGTTCTTGCTCTGCACGGACTTGGCCTGTTCCGCCGTGAAGCCCTTGGCCTCCACGGCCGGGTTATAGCCAAGCCCCGAAATCTTAGCAACAACGTCGGATGGCACCGGTGTAGCAACCTTGCCATCTGCGCGCTTGTACACCGTTACGACAACGGCACCGCCCAAGCCCAGGTTGTGCTGGAGTGCGGCATCAGTTCCATTGACCAGACGGTTGTTGGCCCAGCCGCGCAAATGCCAGACCAGCTCGGCACATTGCGCCAGACCGGTGGCGCCCAGCGGGTGGCCCTTGGAGATGAGACCGCCTGACGGGTTGATGACCATCTTGCCTCCGTAGGTGATGTCTCCCTTACGGACCATCTCGTGGGCCTTTCCGGGTTCGGAAAGCTCTAGGGCGTCGATGGTGATCATCTCGTTGGCGGAGAAGCAGTCGTGAAGCTCGCAGACCTTAATGTCCTTCACGTTGACGCCCGCTTCTGCGGTCGCGGCGCGGCATGCCCCGCGGGACATACCGAAGCCCATCAAGTCAATGGAGCTGCGGTTGTAGAGCGAGCTGTTGTCCGAAGCGAGCTGCTGGCCCGCGATGAGGATGGCCTGATCCTTAAGATGCGGGCGTGCATCGAGGAATGCTTGGGAAACAATGACAGCGGCGGCAGCTCCATCCGAGGTCGGGCAACACTGCAGCTTAGTGAGAGGTTCGTGGATCTTGGGCGCCTTGAGAATCTGCTCGAGCGTGTATTCATCCTGGAACTGAGAGTATGGGTTGCGCTTCGAGTGCTCGTGGTTGATGCGAGCAATCTCGGCAAAGTCCTCTGTCTTGGCGCCGTATCTAGTCCTGGTTAGTACTCGTACATGTGAACAAATGGCGTAAGCAACTTACTTCTCCATATATTCACGTCCAGCATTGCCAAACATTTGTGCAGCACCAGGAGCATTGGTGATTCCCCTAGTTTCTGCCATCATGGTACCGAACAGTCCAGTAGGATTGGCGCGGTCATTATAGACTGACTGCAGACTTCCAGGGCTCATCTTCTCGAAACCGACGACCAAGACACAATCAGCAGCTCCATGAGAGACCAAGGTGCGAGCCATGGCCAGGCCGGTGGATCCAGTGGAGCAGTTGTTGTTGACATTGTAAATGGGGATCTGGGTCAGACCGAACTGATAGAACACGCGCTGACCGCAAGTGCTGTCACCGTAGACGTAGCAGGCGACACCTTGCTCGACGTCGTCGTAGTTGATATGAGCATCCAGCATGGCCTTGACACCAGCTTCAAACCCAAGCTCATGGTAATCGACCTTGCCGCGTGGTTTGATGAACTTGGTCATTCCCACGCCAAGGACATAGGCGGGACCAGATGGCTTCTTTCCCATGGTGATGGTGTCTCGTAATTGTTCGTGATTCTTCGTTAGTTGATCGTGAGAGATGCTGCAAGCTTGCAGGAATTTTGTCAATGGACAGTTGGTCTGTGAGTATAGAAGTAAAATACGGGTGCAACGTTAAAATAAACCCCTGAAGCACATGGGGATAGCAGCGGAGATAAACTGAAGACCGTTGGATGCGGAGAGGTCCCCTGCGGGGAACCGTGCCGACCGAGGTCCCGAGGATAAGCTGACCCCAGTTGTTCATGCACAACCACTGCATTGTGCTCTTATGCAATCGAGTCAATAGTTTTGGTCGTTAATATCTTCAGGTAGTCCTGATGTTTATCTTAGTACTATCCAAGCTTTGGGTAAAAGATGTGGACATCGGCCGATGCACATCATCACTTCATGTTCATCCCATGTGAAGCCGGGCCGAGTCAAAGTCCCCAACAAGTCTGTCCCGAGGATGTCAAAGGCTAGGATGAGCTGAATGAATTATGCAGTTCCGAGTGCCAGTGAGCATTATTCTGTAAGCATTCCTCTCATTGACAGGGGAGGAAGTAGTGCTGTTGATGGGCAGTCCTCTATGGGTGGACTCCACCATTGCACAACATCAAAGTATATACTGACAACCCGACATGCACTGGGCATCCACACATCATCCCTGACAACTCGGTGCCCATGAACTATCTGCTGATGCACCACGAAAGGGATACTGTGTACTACAGTGTATGGACAGTACGGTAGCTACTGCCATATGTGGGGTATTGAGGGATGCTGAGATCGACCGAATCCTGATCCATGCATATCCATCCAGGCTTCCCGTGGATCAACAATGAGTTCTGACCAACAATGTACCCATGGTTAGTCCACTCAACGCTGGAACACATCAGCAGGACGAGGTTTATTTCCGCTAAGCCAATAGTGCTGGCACAATAAATCGCTCGAGAACAATCGAACTTGGCCGTATTACGACACCATTCTCAGGATGGGTGGCACTGGCACGAGAGACCATGGTTGTCCACCGTCGCCCTTAACTTGTCCAGAGATGACTGGGCACGTTATTCGCTCGTACCGCGGTATGCCACTGTCTTCTGGCCACATGTTGTTGGAGCTTGATCTCCTGCCTTAAAGTATTTACAGATTCGGGTCAAGAGCAACAGGAGATTCCACGCGCAGGAAGTAGGAAGGGATACGTCCATCATTGGGAAATGACTTATCCCGCCCGCTTTGCATGTGAAATCGCTTGCTATTTGTAACTGCGCAGTACTAGTAGTATACCAGTCAGGACCGTCAGAATACTCTGACCACTCGTAGCATTGATGTTACCAAGTACTTCTATTAGTGTCAACCAAGACATGCATGCACCGGTCTAGGTGGACCGACACTCAATGCTGTAGAGGAGAGCTGCGGACTGCCATGATTGGAGGCGAGCAGAGAGATGTACCTGGCTTCCACAGCCATATCCAGTTCCAGACGCATCCCGCCCTCCTTCGTCCATCTGCCCGTCCGCCGGGGAGGAGCCAATGACTGCGGACTATGCAGCAAGCGTGGCCATGAGGGAGAGTGTCAATCCGTGAGCATCCGCCTAGTGAGTGGCTCGTCAGGCAGAGCGGGTACCTCCAACCGCCGGACTGGCTTAGTCCGAACGCAAGCTCCCTTGCCACGCCTCCCTCTTTGGGTTTAGCTTCCCAGTTCGAGGTTCGAGGGTGGATTCTCGGCAACAAAAGAACCAATACGGAAAAAGTCACACATCCCAGAGCACTTGTCACTTGTCAGAGCTGAGGTTGCGCAAAATGGGTTTGGAATGTACATTGTACCATGTCTCGTAGAGGAGAACAGCTTGATCGGTTGCGAGTAATAGGCGCGCTTGCCCTCAGGCAGAGACATCCGTCAAGACCTCTCTGGTGGTCCAAGTCGTACTGAACGTATCAAAATACTCGGTTTGTCGCACTGGATGCTTTCACGACGACGTCACAGCCCGGCTGCCACTAAACCGCATCCAGAAGCACCGGCCACATGCCTCGTTGGTGTTTGCCTGATTCTTGGGGAAGATTCCCTGCCTTAGTCAGAAAAACCGCAGACAAGCTGGAAAGGTCACTAACTTAACTAGTCAACTTAACTTTCTCCCCAATAAGGACCTAAAACCAACTCGGTAGTCCATCGTGATGATCTCCGCCGCTCCCTCCTCCCTCTTTTCTTGCATTTCGACTCTGGATTTCTCGCCCGCACGGCCCATTGCCCCCGCCTCATTGACCCTTCTTCCACTCCCGACAGTCGAGTTCGTCTTCTGGAGGTAAGTTATCCAGCCCAGGTCCATGATGTTGCTCGGACGGAGGTAACTGGGATAAAGAATAATGTGGTCCCGCTATGATGGCGGGGTTGGTGCGGATGGAAAGAACCAAATGGCTAATGACCTGTGCGTCCTGTCCAGATAGCTCAGACGACGTCGTTTGTCTCGATATAGTTCCAGGGTGTGGAAGAGGGATTGTCTGCACATTCTTGCACTGGAACAAAGCTTTTGTTCATACCATCACGGCCAGGTTGAGTGCGTCCGAGCTTGACTATTGCTTGTGAAGCGGAGTGCTGCCACTGCCTCGGGTTCTCGAACTTGCACCATCATTTCATATAAACGCCAACGTTCACGTTCCCTTGTTGTGGACAGCTGTGCGATCACCAGGCTTGCTGAGGCCTGCTTCATGGACAATTGTGGGACGCTGAACGGTCTGCTCGCACGTTGAGAGACCGCTTTGCGTTCCATAGGGTTCCCCAGCCTGCATCTCACGATCTCCTTCACTGACCCTCACGGTCTCCGCCGGCGACGACGACTAAGCGATCAACACGGAGCACTTCATCTGCCACAGATGGGATACCTCCAGGAATGACTCTTGACAAACACTCTGAACATGCACCCTTCTCACCTCCCCCCCCTCAACCTTCTCCCTTAGCCCGGTCGACGCAAACCACTTTGACGATGGATGAAGCGACACGCAACAAGCTGCTTAAGAGCTACAAGACTCAGGTAGCCTCGGCGTCATCCACTGTCTTCGCTACGCTCGCAGTGGTGAGTGATACGCGCTACGCGTCAAAAGGTCGAGCAAGAGGAACTGACTAGCTGCTTGCAGACTCCCCTGGAAAACGTCAAAACCCGTATGCAGACGTAAGTAGGGTATTTGCTTGCTACTGCTTCAGATGTACTGACCTTGACAGGCACAACTTTCAAAATGTAGCCCAGTGTATTCGCTACTTGTGGCGTACTGAAGGCCCGCGTGGTTACGTGGCTGGTAGGTTGACCTGTCCAGCATTTTTACAGTGGATGTTAATGCAAATATTGAAATTCAGGCGCTCTGCCACCTCTTGCAAGCGTTACGGCGGTTAGGGTGATGAATTTTACCACCTATGCCTTTGCCAAAAATAAGGTCTCCGACTTTATCCAGAGAATGACCGGGGAGTCGCCTTTGGAAATTTACGACCAGGAAGGCAGCAGCCCCACTGTTTCTACTGTGGTCACCTTTACCGCTGCTGGTCTTTTTGCAGGACTCGTCAGTTCGCCGGTTGCTTGTAAGTCGCGGTTTGTACCCTACTCAGAAGTTTACTAACAAGAACAGGTCCCTTTGAGCTTGCGAAGAACGTAGTTCAGACCTCGGTCTTGATGTCCCACCGTTCCCAGGCCTCTAACAATGCGCCCAATGACCCTTCACTGCGTAACATGCCACGTCTTAGCACTACCGAAGCGTTCCGACAGATCTACAAGAGATATGGTTTCCGCGGACTGTACACCGGATTCCATCTTCATGCCCTGCGCGACACCGTCGGTACCGGCCTGTATTTTGGCGTGTACGAGACTGTCAAGCAGATTGCGGAAAGAGAAATGGGCAAGGGAACAGGAGCGCCCGCGATTGCCGGTGCAATCTGCAGCACCATGCCCTGGTTTTGTGTAAGTGTACCTTCTACAGACTTGGGGTGAAAAAGCTAACGAAATAGACCTACCCGCTTGACACCCGCAAGACTCGCGCCCAGAGTGTGCTGCTTGGCAAGTCCAAGGAAGTCGGAGAGGCGGCCTCGGCTATGGCGAAGTCTAGTATCTACAAGGGTTTGTCGATCATTTTGATCCGTACCGCCATCAACAACATGATTCTCCTGAGCATCTACGAATACATGAACAGAAGAATTGATAATCTCGATGATTAAGTCAGGAGCAGGATTGATCAGCTGAATGATTAAATTCCTCGACAGCAAAACCGAGCGGAATGCTGAATACATCTACTGAGGTATTGACTATCTGGAAGGTTAAATACATCTAGGAAGTATTGATGAGCTGGCTGATTGAATACATCCAAGAAGTGTTGACTATCTGGAAGGTTGAAACGTCTACAGAAGTATTGGTGGCTGGTTGATTGAATACATCACAGCATAGCAGATGAGCTGGCTCATTGAACAGGATATGGTTGGGCATTGGTGGATAGGAAGGATATTGCTCAACTGGAAGTAAATAGTACATACTAGCCGAAAATACAAATTGATGATGTACATTGCTACACTAGGTGTAAGTACATGGTGTATTGTGACACTGCCTTAAGTGGGATGTAACGTACTTCTGCCTCAGGCACCCACAACGTCATGCGTTGCCCGGGTGGGGTTGGGCTTTTCCGTCAACAAAACTTCCGGAGATCTGGCTGCATGTCTATGCTCTCTCGACTGACACGATGGCGTCGTACGTGCTGCTGCTACAGAATACATGATGAATACTGCTAACTCTCTCCAGTAATATCCTCCAGGTCCCGTTTCGGCGGTCGCACTCCGTCACGCTGTCGAATGCCATCACGCAATACATCTCCTCCAAATATGACCAACGCCCGGACATGTTCGCCGAGGATCTATTGATCATCGAGCGACTGCGAAATGAAGCGATCAATGTCCAGGAGCCTCATGTCAGCGGGGTCAGTCGACTGGTCACCTATGCGGCGCAGCTGAAATGGCTGGGTGGGAAGTTTCCGGTGGATGTGAGTAGATCGACGATGCAGAGAGATTAAGGTTGACATGTTCAGGTTGGGGTGGAATTTCCGTGGTATCCTGCATTTGGATTCAATACTTCTAGACCGAGTAGGTGATATCTATCAGGGATTGGGGTGGTGATGGTGGCTGACCGGTCTCAGTTTCGCAGAATAATATCCGCTTCGAGCTTGCGAACGTTATCTTCAACCTGGCTGCGCTGTACTCGCAGCTGGCATTTTCCGTGAACCGCACGACATCGGATGGTCTCAAGCAGGCGTGCAATTACTTCTGCCAGGCGGCTGGGGTTCTGACTCACTTGCGGTCGGACATCCTTCCCGATCTGCGGACGTCGCCTCCCGAGGATATGGATGATATGACACTGCAGAGCTTGGAGCAGCTGCTTTTGGCGCAGGCTCAAGAATGTTTCTGGCAGAAGGCTGTCAAGGACGGGCTGAAGGACGCTTCAATTGCTCGTTTGGCGGCCAAGGTCTCGGACTTTTATGCAGAGGCGGGAGATCATGCGGTCAAGTCGAATGCTATCAGTCCTGAGTGGATTCACCATATGACGGCTAAGCATCATCATTTTGCTGCTGCTGCGCAGTACCGGCAGTCTTTGGATTGCTTGGAGAAGCGCAAGTACGGTGAGGAGGTTGCTCGTCTGAGGGATAGCGAGGCATGCGTCAATGAAGCGTTGAAGGAATCGCGCTGGATTAACCGGACTGTGCTGGGAGATCTCCAGGGATTGAAGACCAGAGTGACCGAGGATTTGAAGCGTGCTGAGAAAGATAATGATATTATCTACCTCAATCCGGTGCCGCCCAAGTCGGAGCTCAAGCTGATTGACCGGGCATCCATGGTTGCCGCGAAGGCGCCGTCCCAGGTGACTGATGCTATCTCTATGTTGGGCGAGAACGGGCCTTTGGGGCAACCGCTGTTCTCTAAACTGGTGCCGTATGCTGTGCACATTGCTGCCAGCATCTACTCGGATCGTCGTGATCGGTTAATCAATGAGAACATTATTGGGGAGTTGGAAAATATGACGGATAAGCTCAGGGAGTAAGTTTTCCCTTTCTATTGCTATGCAAGGCTAACCAGTTAGTCTGTTGTCTTCTTTGAATCTTCCAGGCTCGCTGCAGGCTTTGGAGAAGCCGCTTGGTCTTCCCCCGACACTGGTATCGCATGCAGAAGAGATGCGCCAACAGGACGGACTGAACCGGCTGCGCAAGTCGCTTGAGGACACGGCAACGGTCAAGGCCAACGACAGGGCTGTTTACAACGAGGGCGTGGAGCTTCTGGCGGCTGAAAAAGCGGAAGATGATGCGTCGCGCCGGAAATTCGGCACCGATCGCTGGTCTCGAGCTTCGTCAGAGGAGGCTGCGCCAAAGTTGTACACGACGTCGCGCGAAATCGAGGGATACTTTACGTCGGCCCAGAGCAGTGATAACCTGGTTGAGCAGAAGCTGAAAGACTCCGCGGCAGTGTTCCGGGTATTGACTGGTACGAACCGTGATCTGGAGATGTACGTCCCTAGCAGCCGGTGGGCTGCTCTGCCGCCGGAGGTCGAGCGCGAGGTGAGCCGACTGCGGGGATGTATGAGCGAAGTGAGCCGTCTGGAGAGCCGGCGAAAGCGGCAAGCGCAGGCATTGAAGGACAAGGCGCGGGCGGACGACATCAGTAAGTGGCCTGCAATTGTAGTAGGACGAGCTAACAGAAGTAGGCCAAGCACTGATTAAGGAGACGGCACGGCTGGAGCGCGAGTTTCCTATGCAGGCGATCCAGGCCAGCCAATTCGAGGATCTCTTCGAGGAGCAGCTGCATCTGTATGACACAGACCTAGACATGGTCACACGGGAACAGCAAGACCAAGACGAGATCGCAGCACGGGTGCAGGAAGCCAACTGGGCGTTTACACGGGCACATACCGGCGATGCATCGACCAAGGAGCGTGAGCGGGCGTTGCAGGAGTTGGAGAACGGGTATCTGAAGTACAAGGAGATTTTGTCGAACATTGAAGTGGGACGGAAGTTCTACAACGATCTGGCGAAGATTGTGGGACGCTTCCGCGACGACAGCAAGGCGTTTGTGCATAAGCGACGGATGGAAGCCAGCCAGCTCGAGGGGTAAGTTTATACCGATTGACTTTGGAATCTAGCTAACTGGGATAGTGACATTTCGAGTGCTGCCGCCATGGCGTCGCTGAATATCTCGCGCCAGCCACAACTGCAGCCGCAACCGCAGCCTCAGCCGCAGCCATCTTATAACGCTCCGGCGCAGATTCAGCAGCCTTCATATAATGCTCCGGCACAGGTTCAGCAGCCATCCTATAATGCTCCTCCGGCGCAGGTTCAGCAACCATCGTACACTGCTCCTCAAGCAGCACCCAGACCCGAGCCCATGACAGCACCACAGCCTACGCGGGCGAATGCGCGGCCACCGATGACGCCGGGGATCTGGTCACCGGAGATGGGGATACGATTTGGGGGACAGTGGGATCCGAGCAAGGGAGTGAAATTTTCATAACCTCCTTTAAAGCTAGAGCATACAGTACAGCATTGAATACATACATACACACATGTTCATACTACATTACAGTGTTAATAGATCTGATCTATATTACTGCAGTGACATCACTACATGATTATATACACTCCTCCAACTGACTATGTACATACATTCATCCAACTACCCATCACCATCACCACCACTACCAGTAGTACTAGTACTATTACCACTACTCTGGAATAGAAATAACCCTCCTCAACACCTCCCCCGCCAACCACGCCCCCTCCCTCGTCCCATCCCACAGTCCCATTCCCATCCCGATCCCGGGGCCAACATCCCCCGCAAGTTCATTAAACCTCCGAATCCACCCTTCCCAGGTCTTCCTGGTAATAAACCTTCCCATATCCCCACCTTCATCTCCATCATTTGGTGGTGGTGATACAGCCAAAGGCGGAGAATTCGCCGCAGAGGTAGACGTAGAAGCAGATACAGACCCGGATTCGAATTCATCGAGGGTGAGACCTGCTACTATGTAATTATCCTTCTCTTTCTCTTTCTCTTTCTCTCTCTCTTTCTCCTTATCCTTCTCTTCTTTAGGCTTTTCTTGGTGAGAAGAAGGAGAAGGAGGGGAAGGAGGATGGGGATGGGAAGGAGTGCGAATCCCACGTCTCCGCCAGAGATGTTCACCGTAGAGAAGGGCGAAGGTCGTTGCTGTGAGGATTTGGGTGTTGTTTTGCAGATGGTCATTCTTATCATTCTTATCATGGTGGTGATGATGATCCTGAGGTTGATGTGGAAGGTTCTCAAGTATCCAAAGACACGAAATCGCAAGATCATCGATCCAGGACCCGACTCCGTCACATTCATCCTCCTCTTCATGACTATTATTATTATTATCTTGATGATCAAATCCCCAATCATATTCATCAAACCCATACGCATAATTATCCGAGTCACTGGGGGAATGTAGTACCCCTTCTCTAGCGAGGAATGCGAGGAATGTGATGAAGTTGAGCCATGCTTGGTGGAGGACCTTTTGATCTCTTGGGTGCATTTTATTGAGGTATTGTTGTTGATGGCGTGTATGTGGATGTGGGAAAGGGTGCAGATGCATCCCGAGCACATCTCCAAAATCAGTAAATATTGATCCTACCACGTCTCGGAAATGTGGTAGGTAAGCCCATACTAGACTCTTGGTTTTTGTGGGTCGGATGGTCGATTCGGATGCTGAGGAGGGGAGTTTGGGGGGTTTGGGTCTTGAGTTTTCTTCGGGTTGAGGTTGATCTTGATTTTGAGGTTGTGTGTTGGTGTTGGTGTTCTTTCTTGGTTCTGATGGTATAGGAGGTGGAGGTGGTTGTGGTTGTGGAGGAACAGGTGCAGCCACAGGATCATGCAAATGGCGAATATAATGCGATCCACCCACCGTCCCATCGAGATATACACCTAGGGATGGGTGGTATAGTTCTTCTTCTTCTGTACTTTCTCCTTCATCTTCCCCTCCTCCATGCTCTTCATTCCCATTCCCATTCTCATTCCTCTCGGTAATATCCCCATTAACACCACCACCACCACCACCATAAGAACTATACCTCTCCCTCTCCCTCCCACCACCCACCTGCGAAGCAGCAGAATAAGAATACCTCGACTTCGTCCTCGCACGAACATGCACATGCACATCCGGCATATTCTTGATCGCATGCATCAAGGCAATCAGTTTCTTCTGTGATGGGGTGGGTGTTTGGTGATGGGAGATGTCTGTGTCGATGGTCTCTTTTTTCTTTATCTTTTCGCCTAGCGTACCACCATGACCGTTGGACGTGATACTTATTTCAGCAGTAGCTGATGATACCATGATGTTTGTGCAAGGTAGACATCTCCCTGCGTGTAGAATACTGGCCCATAGGTCGTGGACGCATTCATCTATATCATGATTAGTATCATCGTGTATGATATATATAAGGAATGATGATGGCGGGATAAGGGTGTACCTAATCCCTCCCCCCTCTTCTCCATAAACGCACTGATCTCCCCTACAGCCGTCACTACCGAGATCTCCTCCGCCAGGTACAGTTGAATAATGCCCGTGAAAGGATACAGGGATGGAGTGCCTTGGGTCCAGTTGTGGAGGGTGGCGAGGGTGTCGATTTTATGGTCCATCCCTCTTTCTCTTTCCCTCTTCCTCTCTCTCTACCATGTACTCTATGGTAGTGGGGAGGACATAATGAATTATTATGTGTCTGTTTTTAGTTAGTTGGAGATGTTGTATCATGTGAACTTGTGTAGCAAAAGTTAGATGGGGGGTGTGTCATGATGTCATGTCATGTGATCGTTATGGCCTAACTATATACTAGTATGCTAGCTACTTGTATGTACTATGCTGGCTGGCTGGTGTTGATTATAATGTACAGGGTATCATCGCTCCGTATTTACTTATCCCTAAGGTTCATGTCCTGGCTCGTGTTTGGCTTACGGATTCTCCACCTCCACCTCAGGCATCACCATATCTAGCCCCTCTCCGAGGAAAAAGTCCAGCTCGCTGGGTCCGCCTTGCGAATGCTCGTTTTCTGCCAGCTGCTCCAGCAGACTCAGAAACGGGTCTTTTTCGCCTTCGCCTGTGCCTGTTGCAGCTCCTGCTGCTGTTGCAGTGGCGCTGGAGCTGCCCTGTGACGGGGCGTCCGGCGTCAGTGCCGGTCCGCCCGGCGTGGCTTCAAACGGAAACGTCGCGTACTGGGGCTGTGCGGGCGGTGTCGGTGCAGTGAATGGGTCGGAGAGAAACGGTGCAGGGGAGTTGCTCACTCCTGGTGAGAAGCCTAGACTGCTCTCTGGCAGGGCGAGCTCGGGTTGTGGCCATGTTGGCGATGGTTGGAAGCTGATGGATCCTCGGCCTTGGGAAGGTAGAGTCGATGCGGGCGGGTACATAAGTCTGTTGAAATCGGGTCGGTCAAGTGGTAATCTAAACAAGTCAGCATTGTAAGTTGAATGAAAGGTGGTGGCTTACTCGTCTCCGTCCACTAATCGCAAATGCGCCCCATCCACGGCTAGCCCCGGATACCGGTCCAGGAAGTCCTCTAGATGGAACACCGGGGCAAACCGCACCGGTCGCGCTGCCATTGTCCGCACCAGCTCGGCATGGCATCCTGAAATACTTTGCAGCATCTCCCGCTGGTGCTGCACCCCCGCCCAGTACTGCCGTAGCCACGACAGCTGGTGCATCTCGCGCGCGAGAAAGTCTGCGCTCGACGCAAACACTTCTCCCTCGCGCCCGTGGTAGTGAACTCCGTGTACGTGTACGGTGCCAGCCGTGCACACGCAGTATGCTACCAGGGCGGGCCACTCGATGCGTGGCGCATGTCGGGCTAGCTCCACCAGCTCGGCGATGGCATTGGCATGCGAGAAACAGAGCGTTGTCGCCTCGATCTGCCACGACTGATGCTGTCCGGTACCGCGCAGCTCGACCAGGTCGATGGGAAGGAAGGGCCGATAGAGTAGACAGTGCACGAGGTGGTAGATGAGCTTGCTCAAAAGCAGCAGCGTGCTCTCCGGATGGCCGAATAGAGTCTCGATCGATGCGAACAGATCTTGTGTGCCGGCCGCCCAGAGGTCGAGTTCCTGGCGGATCTTGGATAGGTTGGAGAGGGCGTGCCAGGGAAAATGCGAATCGCCTTTGACGCCCCCCGCGGCGAGGTAGCGATGCGTGACACCCAAAATGCGCGTAATGTCGACCAAGAGAGCCGGGCCACCAGGGCCTTTGCGACGGTCAGGGGAGTAATGGATATTAGGGCCAACCGGGTTAAACCATTCGCCCGTTTCAGACCCGCTGCCCGGAAGACGCAGGACGATGGAATGGTCGGCAATAAGACACGGTCGCTTGGAGCCACAGGTGAGAAAGCGATCCATCACATAGACGGTCCAGAACAATCGCCGTCGCATCTCACGTTCTGCGGCAGGCAGCGCTGCGGGTGCTTCGCGATACAAGTCCAGCGCCAGTGTCATGGACACCGCATTGGCTGAGCAGTCAGTACCGGTCTGCGTCAGTTGGCGTCGCACATACCTAATACCATGTAGGCTGTTTTGCCACACCCGTAGGCGAAAAAGGTATGACAGAGCAACAGCAGAGACTGGGTCCCTTCGATGGACGGGTTGTCAATATCGACCAGCCGTCTTGCCTGCCGAGCATACTCCAGGCTGCCTTGCGGAGGATTCGGCGTAGTATATCTACAACATCAGCCAGATTCTCACGACCGAGGAACAATAATCACTACCTTAGGGTTAGGGCATAAATCGCCATAGACAGATGCACCGGTAATTGTCCATGCTGATGCCGTTGACGAGTCGCCGTTTCATCCAGAATCCAATACGGCTTCCCATGCAGCCGAGCAAAGTAGTTGTCCAGCATGGCATCGGGCAGCCGGTGTTGCTGCGGCTGCGATTGCGGGGGTGGGGGAAAGCCATGAGGCGCCGGGGGAAAGTGGAATGGCGTCGAGGCGGACGGCAGCAGTTGCTGGTCCAAGGATTTAATGGGAGAGGTAGCCGAGGTCGGGGAAATCGGCGAGTCTTCCTGGAGGCGCTTTTCCAGCCCGTCAACACGTTTTAACAAGGCCTCCAGGACATCGGTTTTGGGTCCCCGCTTTTTAGGAACGGCGTCTACCAGAATGAGTAGAGTTCGGATTAACGTGGCAGGCAGAGGATCAGACCATAGATGCATGGACATTGGAAGACCTTGCAGGCCTCGCAGCTGGGACGTAGACGATTACATTTGATCTGGCAATTTTGTCAGATCAAGAAGATGATGGTGATCTCACGAAAGATAATGATAATGATGTGAGTACCTTTCGCTTTCTGCAGGACTTGCAGTTCATTGATTCACGGGGTTCGGCATGGACGCGACGGGGAGTGAGACGGTCGATGCTGACCTGGGGGCGGGACATGGCATTGCCTGTGCATAGGATGGATGGAGAGGGTGAAGAGGATGGCGTGGGAGTTGGAGTTGTTGTAGTTGAGGAGTGGTTGTGGGGAAGAGAGGAAAGGATGAAATAGTCAAGGAAGAAGAAGCCGAAGCCGAAGAAGAGGAAGAGGAAGAGAGAGAAAGTGAGGGAAAAGAAGAAAAGCGAAGTGACCCCGGATTTAAAACCAAAAGCAAACGTGGAGAAGCCGGTGGACTAAGATGGATCTGGTTAGACACTGCGAATGCGGGGAGTTTCTCTTTTCTTGCATCAGTTACTACTAACTGATCATGTTAAGTGGTTGGTGAAATGTTAAATTCATGCATGAAGCACCAACTCTCTGTCGGTTAAATATTCCTCGGGATTTTCCCGCTTCCAGCACGGATTCTCGTCCGCAAATCCAGCACTTCTCAAAAAGCCATCATCACCATCCAGGATAGTGCCAGAATATATGGTGAACTGCTGAACATCTTGTCAGAAACTGTCGATCGCAATCTATCACCCTGCAGACCTTTCCAGTCTAGTAAGAGAAGCTATTCTGCAGCCGGCATATGCCCCGGCCCGGCACTCTTAGCATTTAATTTATTCCACTTGCCGTGATTGCTTTTAATATCCATCATCTGTTGTAAGATGATCACACTGCATTCATCACACCATTAAAAAGCAGTAGCAGCACCAATACCCCTACTCAAAGTGGATACAGTTCATTCATTTAGTATCAGACCGATTTACTCCAATTCTATATAAGAATATTCAAAACACCCGTCCCGATGCCATACGTACAAAATCAAACGGTACATTCTGTCCCACCAGCAGTCGCAGCGTCTCCACCGTTGTCCATGCATCAACATCTTCAATCCCATACGCCGTCCAGCCGGCTCGCACGGCTACCCCCACCGGATCTCCCGTGCGCTCCCCCCTGGTCAAGTCCAGGTACACTTTCCCTCGAGTCGACGGCGGCGATGTGCGTCCACTCGTCCGGTAGTGCCGCAGCAACGGCTGCACCAGCAGCGACTTCTCTGGTGGCAGCGCCGACACCATCACGAACGGCTGCTCCACCATCTTCACCGATTGGATCGACGTAAACGGCTCCAGTCCCTCCGCCAGCGGGCCGCGCGCCCGGAACCCGACCGTGTGGATCGCGCCCACTCCCAGACTGCGCAACGCAAAGATCGTCGCCGACGCTTCGCTCTCGCTCCCCGCTAAGATGATGGCTGCTCGTCCCCGGTACGCCGATGGCACATAATCCCGCGTCAACGTCGCCCGGATTCCTTTCCACGTCGCATTCTCTCCCATCAACTGCTGCTGCGGCGGTGCTGGCTGCTGTAGCCGGCTAGAGCCCCGCATGGCCACAATCGTGTCCACCAGTCCGATCGCCTGCGCTGCTTCGCTGATGGCCGGGATGCTGCTCGTCCCACTGGCGATCGGCGGGTGAACGGACGCTCCCCCAAAGCTCGGCTGCGTGATCACCCGCTCGATCGAGCCCGTGGGACCCCGGTCAATCGAAGTCAGTGTGTGCGGTAGACTGAGCTCATTGAAGCATTTCTCCATAAACATCGACTGCGGCGTGGATCGGAAGGACCCAATCGCGTACAGATCCCGCTTCGGAAGCTGTCCCATGATGTGGAGGGCCTCGTTGATCTCGGCGGCGGTCAGCTGGCCGGGCGCGGCAATCATCGGCAGCAGCGGATGCGTGATAGGCGAAAACACCGTGTTGAGCGCACGCGAAAGTTGCCCTAGTTGGCCCATGTTGACTGCCGAGAGAAGTGGGTAAGGCCCGTAGGTCCCCTTGATCGTCGACCGGAAGTACTCCAGTTCGTAGTTGGCCTCAATTGTAGTCACCATGGCAATCATCTTGACAATGTCCGCGTACTTGGCGCTCTCCGCAAAGATCCGGGGTGCCTCTGGAGACGTCCACTTCCACGTCCCGGAGAAATCGTGGAACGCAGACATGATGATGCTGTTTCCTTTGACCTCCGACAACCGTCTCCGGATGTCTTCAGGCAGCCACAGCTCCACATCAATGTACTCCACTCCCCACTGAATCGCCCGCCGCAGATACTTGTAGAAGAGCATCGGGTCGTCCATGGGGAATTTGCCATTCTCCTTGGTGCACCGGGTGGTGAAGATAATGGGCAGCTCCGTATGCTGCCGAAGCAACATCAGCTGCTGCCCTACGTAGCGAAGGCTCGGCACCGACACTTCTGCCCCCTGGGGTGGTTCAGGATCAACCAGCAGATCCACGCGGATTTCGACGGCATCCGACCCCACAGAGAGGATGTCGAGGTTTGGCAGGGCCGCATGCACATCCGGGAATGTCGTGGAGATGAAGTTGGTCCGGTTCTTGGTTTTCAGGTCCTCATGCGGCCGAGTCTGGCCCAGAATCAGCGACAAGAAGCGAGTCAGGTCGCGGCGAAAGAAGGGACTGCGCAGAGAGTAGAGGAACTCATAATGGCAGCGCTCGGTGAGTGCGTCATCCGGAAACGATCCATCGTCGACACAATGCGTATTGACCAGAATACAGGACGCCGGGTCATCCACTTGCAAGCTTGCAATCGAATCTTCCGTGGCAAGAAACCCTACGACGACGGCGTTGCTGCCTGGGCCAAACGTAGACAGTGAGGTTTCGGTAGTCCATGGCTTGCCGAGGATATCCGCAACCACTTGAACGATGGCCTCCTGCCCCGGACTGTAGACTGTAACGACCGTCCGTGCAGGCTCCGGGGGCACGGTTAGCGACGAAAAAGCAGAAGATGTGGTAGAGCCTTTGAGAGCCGTGAGGGATGAAGTAGCGGCATCAGCCAAGAGTGTCATCCCCATGGGCTGATGAAGGGCTGTCTGCATCATCTCATTGCATATGCAGTATACTGCTCCTTCTCATACTTGGATGCGACCGTTGGATGTCGAAAAAAAGATACGTCACGTTGACTCTCCCGTCGATCGCGGAGAAGAGATCACGGAACAAAATCAACAGCGGACGTAGTAGTATATAACAGTAAGAGTAGTAGCAGCAGCAACAGCAGTAGTAAGTCAAGACCGGTTATAGATGTAGTATGTATGTACTGTATGTGGCATTGATGGACCCCAACCAAACTCGGGAAAGTGATATCTGCACCAGAGCCGAGTACACCGACAGACAACCCCAAGCCCAAGAAAGACAAGGAGGGAGAGTCAAGTACTACTAAGAACGGAGCGCCGGCGGAAAGACAGACAGCGTCGGGGCTTAGCGTTTAATAGCCGGAAAGTCGGAGTCAAAATGGCAGCAGAATGGTTTAGGGGCTTCACGCCGATCAACAGAGTTTCAAGACAGTGTGGAAGAGGGGGGAAGCAGGAGACAATGTAGAGAAGATCTGGAGAGAAGGAACGACATCTGCTCGGGAAGAGATGAGAAGGGATTCAGCCGATAAAGGGAGCAGATCGAGATGAGGGAGAGAGCGGGTAGAGAGCAGGAGACTTGGAGACTTGGAGCTGGAGACTAGCAGTCAAGATGGCATGGATCATTGGCGATGGAGAAAAGAATCGAGGAATTTCCCCGGAATCCCAACTCCGCCTACCGGGGGGGCGGAGGCCATTTCTCCGCCAATCACGGGTGGGACTCGTCCTCTCCCGTTTCCCCAGCCTCAAGAAGAGTTCACCTGATACTTGCTAGTATTCTTCCGGCAAACAATCAATACTACTCCATGTATTACTACAGAGGGAGTAGATACTACTGTAAGTCTTTTCTACCTCGTTTCTATTTCCTGGGCAGGGTCTGGTAGACAAGATTCTAGATTAACTTCAGTAACAGTCCGTCCACATCCATTTACATCAAACCAACAATATCTCCACGCTGTCGATCGGTTTCCTCACCCCAGATCCAGGCAGCATTCAAGCATCCCAGCATCTCCATCTATTGGACACGGTCGCGTCTATCAGGATGATCTGTCTCACCAGCCATCACCCCTCAAGCTCCCATGATACGAGGAAAAAACCCCTCCCATAGCGTTATCTACACCCCTTCTTGTTGGTTCGGACATGCCCACCTGCCGCAGTTCCCTGGCCGGGGAGTAACCCGGCGTCGTACCCCGTAGGCCAATTGACGTTGCATCGTTCATAAAAACTGGCCGCCATCTCCACCTTCCTGCTGCATCGCATCTTCCTGCTGCATCATAGCTGACCTTAGTCCCCGGATGCTCCGGCCAGCTGGCCTGGACAATCAGCCTTACAGCCAGGGCCGACGCCCATATTCTACAAAGTACTTCATCAATGCAATGCATATCGGTGTACCACAGGTGGCAAATGATCAATTGGTGCAGAAGGAACCTTATGTAACATGACGGCTGAATCCACCAATAGTCCAGAAAGGCACTCGAATAGATTAAAAGAAATACCAGCCAATCAAAAGGGGGTATTGGAAAGAAACAGAAACCAAAATGCTCTCGAAAAAAGACAACAAAGAAGTTCGAATAATGACACCAGGTAAGAAATGCATACCTGTGCCAGCATCGGTGGATGCTCGTTCATGTTCAGGCAACTGGGTTCAGCGCAGCATATGTATGGGGGAGGTATGTGGGTAGTTATGTGTACATGGATGCATATGATGTATGTACTCCGTGACTGCAAAGCCAGGTGTGACTGGCAAGCCAGACAATCATTATTATGCTCGTCGCAAACTGAAGGCGTCATGGTATTCAATGATCCCGGGCGATCATGCCTCAACATGAGCGGCCCATTCACGTGAAGCTATAGATCACCCGAGGCCTTCGATCCATGGCATTCAGTCAGACGTCTGATTTTTAGTAAGCAATAAGCCTGGTTTGCAGACCAGATGCTGCAATCCAGGGGTTATGTTGCGACGGGATCTGAGGCACGGTGCGACGAGTGTTTCAAACACGGTCGCGGGCCACTCGTAAGTGATATTCGATAATAGTAACCCACCGCACGTATCCACATGTCTCTACTCGCATGCAACAGCAATAGGTCCGGACCAAGAGATACAACATGAG